CCTTAATGATTCTATGATTCTATGACTGAATTCTTGGGGTGAATGTTCCTTTTTTCACCAAGCTAGCCAAAGATACAGCTGTGTGCCTTTTGGCATGTCTATTTAAGCAACTATTTAAGCATCTATTCTGCCCTTCAATACCATTCGTTAACATTTTATCCTAAGCTTTGAATTTTGCTGGCTTGCTGATAGAGCTGTGCAGGCAAAAACTTTTGTTAAAATAAGCTGTTACAAACTCTGTAATTACACAATGGTGACGTTACAGCTTGTGGTCTGAGACTTTTTACTGCAGCCTGGTAAAGAAACACATTTTGTTGGTAGGCCAAACTGCTCTTCTTCCTTTCCTTCCCTTCCCTTCCCCAGGTGCACGCACTGCCCATCAGCTGAACATGGCTGACTTCTGACACGGGTACTGTCTTCAGGACTATGAGATGGGGAAGGTTTCTAATAATACAGGCCTGAGCAAGTCAGGTAGTTTGGGATCTGCCTCTGAAGACTGGAGCAGTAAATGCATTATGTATTCATTATCAGAAAACACTTTTTAAGTCGCACTTTTACAGAGCTTCATCTTAATCTTGACTGTGCACAATGGACTGAATTTGTCATCTGTCTGCAAAATTCTGCAAAGGTAGCATGTGTGTTTTAATTTAAGATTACATCAATTGCTTTTTTTTTTGACAGTCATTAGGGCTGCTATCCTCATCCAGAATTGGTACCGCTTTACAATGGCCCGGATAGAGATGAGGCGCCGCTATTCTCTGAGTATCTTTCAGTCAATCGAATATGCTGATGAGCAAGATCAACTACAGGTTTGTAATCTTCAGTTCTTCATGTACAACCAGTTATGTTATTCCCGGAGGACTGAAGTTGCTCAAACTAAATGGGTATGTGGTTATTTCTACCTACAAAGCTGTGTCCTGTATAATAAAACTCCTTCTCTACCTCACACATGAACTAATTAAGTTGTGTATGTGTGTGTATATGTATATACATAAGCAGCAGGACACTGTTATGCCCATACAACCATGTTTAGGTTAGAGGTTCCTGTAAAACAGCTCTGTTAGCCAGGAATTGCAGGTCATCCCACTATGGGTGATCTTAACTGTATCTGTGAGGCAAGATATGTGCAACAGAGATATCAGTGTCTCAGCATGTCAGCCCAGGCTTCCTTTAGGGTCAATACAGGGAATTAGGAACTTCTAGGGCTTTGTGTTCATCCTAGCACCAGTGTCTAAAGTCAGCTTGGTGCATTGTAGCGGATTCTTTCTATTGACTACAGAGGAAGTGTAGGCAAATAGTCTGCATGATGGGCAAGATGAATTACACCCAAACATGTCAGCAGCATTGATACAGCCCTGGAACTTTGCATGTATTCATATAGTCTCAATCTGCTAATTCATATCAAAGAAGGAAAGGAGTAAGCTATTTTTGTAGTAGGACACAAGTTGTGTCATTATTGTAGGCTGATGCTATAGGAACATACAGCAGTATCTTAGAGCCCCCTGAATGTCAAATGCTAGTAACTGATTAAGGAAAGAGAATGTTAATTCTTGTTGGATCCCGTACACTGATCAGTGTGTGTTTGTTGTCTTCTGTATTCAGCTATCCAACTTTTTTACGTTCATGCTGGATCACTGTACTCATCCTGATTCAGGTAAGGATAAAAATCAAAGTAATATGGAGACTGTTTGAAAAACTCCATGTGAGGAAAGCTTTCAATGTAATGTTTACAGCCTATGGCATGTGCTGGGGCTGAGGTTTGATTTCTGAAATACTGTAATAAGAATTTGATCCTGTAAGTGTTGACTCTGCTCAATATCTACTTAGTGAGTGAAGATGTAAGACAGGATAGATACCTGTTGTCCTTATGAGAATACTCAGAGGTGCTCAGAGTACTTTCTTATATGCTATTGCCCTTAAGCTGTTCTCATGGTAGTCTTACTGACTACAATTTTCAGAGCTTTCTATGCATGTTTTTCTTAAACTATGGGATGCGATTATCCAGAAAGAAAGTGCCTGGCTGGTGTAGGGCTGGTGTAATCAAAGAGGTCACCTTCAAAGATGTTGCTCCTCTTCTTCTTTTTCCCCCCCCCCCCCGCCCCCCCACGCTGTTCTGGACCACTTTGAAATTTATTTTATTCTAGATTTCACTACAAAACATGTGTCAGTATGTGATTGATTAAAAATTAAATAAATTTAAACATCTGGAGATAAATCTTTAGAAACCATCTCAATGAAAGCTTAGTTGTTCAAAGAATAACTGTTAATTTTTGAAGTATTTTGGGATCGTTGGACAAAACTTACTTTTGAGGTCAAGCTCAACAGAAGGACAGACTGAAAGTGACTTCCTAAATCCAGAAAACAAACATGACTGCCCTGAACAAATTGAGAATAAATCTAATCGCAGTGCAGTTAAAAAGGAGGCTGTCCCCTTCTTATTGAATTACATTATAGAATGTCCTTTCTCTTTCATCTGGTCCAGCCACAGGTTATTCCAATTAAAATTTGTACAAGACAGTTTGATAGCAGGATAAAAACACCACCAAAACCATAAGTGGTTCAGTGTTCTAATGTCAACCATTAGAAACGGCAATTTTTCTCTCTCAATTACTTTAGAGTGCCTAATGCTCTCTGTGCTCTGCAGAAAAAGAAATTATGTTTGAGCCTTGCCCCAAAGCCAAGGCAGATGATACAATTGTCCTTCCTTTGATTTTCTGCAAAAAAATCTGCCTTAGTAATTTAACTTCTTGACAAGGAATTGGCAAACTCAAAGAAAATGAGACACTGCTCACTTCATCTACTTCTTCTACATGCTGATAGTGTACCTTAGTTCAGCTTTTCCACCTGAGTGTGCTCGGTCTGCGATTTGGAAAAATAGCGTTAATCCCTATTTTCATTATAATATTAAAAGGGAATTTTACAGCTGCTTATTGTAGATATGATTTATCCACCTTTACTAACTGTGTCTATTGACAGAAGAAACAAAGGTGAGTGAGGTGTCTCAGGTGACTTGCTAGGGCTCAGGACATGGCTGGGTACAGAGCACACTGCTACATGCATAGGCTATTTGTGGGCACGTGAAGATCTAGGCCCCACCTGTGCACAGGGAGGGATGGAGGGTACTATGGGCTGCCCTTGTCACCACTGCGTGGGTGACCTGTTTCTTGGTCTTGCAGATATTGGGAGTTGTGGATGTGGTTAAGGATGAAACACATGAGAAAGTGTATGGTTTATGGTGAAGCTCCCTTTTGTCTTGCTTGCTTAAAACTTCCATCTGTTAGGGCTGAAGTTGTTAAGGTTTGATAACTGCTCCAAAGGCTTTATTTTTGTCTTGGTTTGTTATTTCCCCTTTTCTAACACCTCGTGTTGTAGATACCAGAATCCAAAACAAAACAGATTCCATAAGGTACATGTTTAATAGAGAGATGGCCTAGGGCACCTATGCAAAGGAACTGACTTAGAGTTTCTTGGAGAAATTGCCTATCAAATTTGTGTTCTGTAGTTTGTGGTTATGTTTGTCCAGCTACCATCTGTGTGCGTTCTTTACTTCAGACTCTTGATCGCTTGCCCCTTGAAATGACCTTTGCAACACCCATGATAGCCCCACTGATTTAAGCAAAATAGTGCTGAATAGAATGATTCTTAATGAGCTGCTTCCACTCCTTCTGAATCATGGTCTAAGATGTGAGCTACAGTGAGTGTAAACATAACAAGCAGAGAGGCTTCAAATTGGCTTTGCTGTTCCCAAGCATTTTCTATAACCCACAATTCTCTTTTTTTTTTTTTCCATCAGTGTGTGCTCACTTAAATTAAAGTGATAGCATATGGTTCACAAGTCCTCTGCAAGAAGATAGCATATAATATTCTTACCAGAGAATAAGTTGCCTGTTCTTCTCAGTATGTGATGAGAAAACTACCTGAAGATTTTGTGATCTTTTTTATTCATTGTATTATAAACCACTCAGTCTCCACTATGCATGTTGTCACTTTGCTCTTTTTAATCTGCCTTTTCAGGATATGTTTTGCAAAGAAAGAAAGCAGCCATCATCTCATTAACACAGTTGTGCTTTTGATATGTTTGTTTATCTGTTGTACCCAGAGGCTTTTTTCATCCTCTCAACCTGCTTAAGATGTTAGTGCAGTTTAAGTTGTGATTGGGATATTATATAGCTGTGTGTCTTGTTCTTGTTCTGCTTCTGATTAAAGGCTAATTTCCAAGGATTTGTGGCAAGTAAGAATTAAAATTTTTTCCAGTTTACACTTGTTCCCTCCCCTCTAAAATCTGCATAGCTATTCAGTCTTTCAGTGGAAAGATCTCTGGTCAGAGAAAGCTGGAAACTGCTTTTCCAGCAAAAGGTGACCCATTTACTCACTCTTCTGTGGACGGATTGAGGGTGAGAAGGCTGCAAACATGTCCTGGACACAGTGGTGGGACTGGGATTTTGAGGCCTCCCTGGCTGTGCCTCTCGAGGTCACCAGGGCAGGAGCCACAGCTCCTTGAGCCTTCCTTCAAAAGGGAACAAAAAAGATGCTGTTTTCTGCAGTTTCACTCCCCGCAATGCCTCCTTTACAATATTAACACCTTTCCAAGACTTTTTGCATAGAGTGATTCTTGCAGTGGGGAATAAGTCACAGCTGCTTGCAGCTTGCAGAGCCAGGATCAGGGTGAAGGTATAAATGTTTCGAGCGTTGTAGAAATCTCCATCCTTAGTGGGCTCAAGGTCCATCTAGCTTTAACCTGATGGCTGGGGATCAGTATCTGGCAGATGTAAGTGCAATTCTCAGGAGTCACAGGTGCTCTCAGGTTCCCCAATGGTTAGTCTGAAGGGGCACAAATGGTGTCAGAACAGAGAGCTTATTTCAGAGCCACAGGAGTAGCTGATTCCCTGTTACCCCCATAGTGAGTACATCCTTGGCAGTGGCATCTTTGACTTGCCTTGAACAACTCGTGTGGCAAGGTGGTCTTGTCAGGAGAACCAGGTCCCTGGGCTTTCTGTGGCCAAACTGACTCCACGTAGCTCTGGGATTTTATTTAATGTGGCTATTGTCCTGTAGGGTAGCTGTATGGGGTCTGCTAATAGCGAAGGCTCAACTCAGTGAGCTTGGGTTAGACATCTGGTGTCACAGTACAAAGCAGGTCATTCCCTGTGCTCTCTCTAGACACAGGAGAGATGCAGATACTGGCGGAGGGTATTTCATTCTGTCTTGAGATGGGTACCTGAACTAGACATGTCAACAACTTTCATCGCTGACGTTCAGTGTGGACTGGAAGTGCCTTGACAGCTTTGACTAGATGATGACTAAAAAGAGAAGGGTGCCAAATCCTTCAGAATGAGTCCTCTATGGGGCTTGTGGTGAGCTGGGGTACTTGTCGGCCAGCGCACTAATCCCCAGGCTGCATTAGGGCATCCATTACTGACTCCTCTGACAGCTGAAAGAGTGCCTGAGGAGATGTAAGCGCACTCTAAGGCTAATGACCATGACTAGCTTTTGATGACTCATCCATAAGTGGAAAATGGGGTGTACTTTGCAGAGATATGCCCTACAGGGAAGGAGATTGGGTTTCTCAGCCTGGGCATATGCCAAAAAGGAAGAAAAACTGTGAGGAAGGCAGGTTCATGTTCAGAGGTAAAGGGAATGGTAGCCTGCTGCATGCAGGAAGGGAGGGCCCGAGTAGGAGCAGGCGTGGGCAGCTGTCAGCCTGGCTTGACATGCTGAGAAGACTGGCAACTCTGAAGGAGTCAGATGAGGAGACCCTCTGTCCAGAACAGGCAAGCAATGAGGAATTTGGGTGGTCTGAGGAACTGGCTCCATGGTCTACAGCCATCTGCTTCCTGAGGGGTAGGGCACAGAGGGAGGTGTCATCTGGAGACCCACTGCTAGAGCTGGGGCAAGACTTGGTGCAGATGGGCTTGGCTGATCAGCAGTTTCAGTCAATGGGCGACGTTCTGGCATCCAGCCAGACAAAGCTGTAACTGTGGTGGAAGACTGCAAATCAGACTGTACTTGGTGAGCACAGTGAACCCTGCGTACCTTGCTGTTACTTGATGCCTTAATGCATTTACATGGCTGTATACTGAATGTGGTAATTAGTTCACAGCAGAAGAGCTGATAGGAAAGGGTTGTTTTTTTTTTTAATCCAGAGCTGATAAAAAGTGTATTTTTTATCTTTATTTCTTTAATATGGATTTTATTCAGTAACAAGACAAGCTGGCCTTTATGAATCTCGTACTTTATGAGGCCACATGCAGATTTTGGCTGCTGGGGGTTTTGAGTCACAGCCACAGGTATTCCTCCAGCAATAAATAATACATTTTTGTTTCCAGTTGCATCTAATCAAGGTTACAGAAAACTTACCTGTAGCCCAGCAAAAAAGTGTTTACAACAGTCATCTCACAAGAGCAACTCTGCAACAGCAGCTGTCAGAACACTGTCCTCTAGGGTCTGGTTCTCTCTTTTAGAGAGATAGATGGTAAATACAATCTGCAAGAAGAAAACGCCAAAATCTGCTGTTTACTCAGTTACATTTCAAGGGTATGTCAAGAAAATATTGGCTTGAAGCAATAAGAAATTCTCCTGCTTTCTCCACGTTGCAGGAAAATTAGAAGAAGTTATGCTCTACTTTTACCACTATGGTTTTGTTTACTTTAGTTCATCCCGTGGTTTTATGGCAGCCAAGCAAAAGCTGGCATTGTCTCCTAGTTGTATCAGAAAGGAGTGCTTTGCAATATACTGTGAAGAAATAGGATTTTGTTGCTGACTTTTTAAATATTTAAGTGAGCTGTTAGTATTTAGCCTTAAAAATGTATGTAGAAAATAAAAGCAATAAAAGCAAATCTTTAAAATCTGTATTAAAACTGTAATATTGAACTTTAAACAAATGATGGTCATTGACTGATCAGTCATGACTTTTGAATCTCCTTGCTGTGTTGGGGAAGGAGAACACAACTTCAGTGCAAAATGTTTTCCATCCTGATGAGAGCTACTGGCTGTTGACACAGAGTTTTTGCCTGGGGTTTTTTTTTCATTGTTTGTTTAGTTGGTTGGTTTTTGCATGTTTTGGGGGTTTCAGGGTGTGGAGTTTTTTTTTCAGTATTGTGAAACAATCTGGGGAGACCTGGAGCTCTTCCATTATACAAGGCAGGAATTACCCACTGTAATACTGCAGCAAGTAAAGCATCAGTTACATTCACTTGGTTCTGGTCATGCTGTTACAGCCCTGTGGGGGACTGGTGGAGTTTCTACATTGTTGTTTTTCTTCCCTCTTCTTCCAGTTTCTCACATTTTCACCAGCCCTAGTGTTTCTCAGGTGGTGGATGAAGGTTTATGTCTAACAGAATTTGAAAATAAGATTGATGTTCCAGACTCCTATTATGGACCACGACTCTCATTCCCCCTTACTGTTGAAGATGCCAATGCTCTTCTTCATGCTTTCAGGAATGAACAGGTAAGTTGCAATGAGTTTGATTTCTTTATACTTATTTTACATCTCTGTCAAGTTGTAGCTCTACAATCAGTTGAATCCAATGTAAGGCTAAACTGATACCCTAGGAGATATTTCTCCCTTCCTTCCCATCCTATTATCCTTTCCTGCTAGCCCCAAGTGATCATACAGGTACATGGTAAGCTGTCTTGGGAAACTGATCTGGCTGGAAGCCAACACAACCAAATCAAAAGCAGCCAATTCTCAGCCAGACCAGTTCCCAGATTTGATTCAGTACTGGGCTGCATGACCGCCAAAGCCAGCACTGGGGAGGGGGTAGGGACTAGTTGAGACCTCCTCTTCTAGCATTGAGATTACAGTGATCATGAAATGGGAACCCTTAGCTGCTGCAAGGCCTGGGATATCAGTGAGGATGCAGGACTGGGGAAGGTGTCCTAAGCTAACCTGGAAACTAGTTATCATCTTTTTCTGGATTAAAAGAGCTCCTTGTATGGTCCTCTTTTCTTTTTTCCCCCACCCCATTCTTTTTAGAGGAATTGAGGTGCAAGGGTTAATCACCTTGTTCCAGTGTGCAAGACTCCACCATAATGGAAGAGTGAATATAAAGCATCGCTAATGTAGCAGAACAGGGTGATAGCACAAGTCTCAGGAGTGTGCTGTCTGCCCCTGCCAAGGCACTGGGAAGGCTGTTGCTGATTCTCTGTCTGTGACCCTGAGCAAGCCCCTTTGCTGCCCTCTTACAAGATGAGGGTAGGGCAGGGAGGCATTACATAGCACAGCTTTGTTTGAACTTGTGCTCATTTGTGCTTAACAATATACTGCATGTAAAGGATAAGGCTCTATCTAGTTTTTTTAATTTACTAAATAAGTATGGGGATTTTTTCCTGTAATTTTCTGTGGAGGCTGATCTTAAAAGTGGCAAAATATAAAGCACATGATAAATGAGCCCACCCAGACTTAACCTTACTATCAGCTCTCTCTTCTCTTACTATGGTTGGCATTTTATTAAGGAAATTATATATATAATTGGCCTTTTTCTGTTTGCTTTAAAAACACGAATCTTGAAAAGTCAGTTTGTAGCTCATCTGTCTCCTCTACTAAACTTCCTCAGAGCTGTGTTTGAATTAAAAGCCTTAGAAATCACTGACTGACAAAATTATCATAAAAAGCATTAGGAGAGAAGACCAGAAGCTTCATTGTTGCATTCTGATAACATCTTCACAGTGACCAGAAAAAGAACTCTTAAAAAGGCATTCCTTGCTGGAGCTTCCCTCTCGTTATTTTTGCAATTTGCTGAAATATCGTTTATGGCCTTTGGGGTTTTTTTTGGTTGGTTTGTGGTTTGGTTTTTTTGTTGTTTTTTTTTTTTTTTTTAACTCACAGTATAACTCAGTCTCTTATCCCTTCTGTAGATGGGAAGAGTAGAAACAGTACACTAAAAATAAAATGGGAAAATATGTAAATCAAGTTCATTAAGGGCTCTGTATCCATTCACCGGGAAGCAAGTGCAAAGCGATGAATGTTCCTAATTCCCAGCACTAAAATCATACAGCCTATAATCATGTCTGGAGGTCTGTAGTATAAAAAATCTTGGGAATATGTGTCTGATATTAATAAAGCAGACAGACATATTGCTACTTCTAATAAGTCTTTCTTTTCTCCCTGCTTTTTTTTCTAACAGCTGCTTCATGCCCGCTATGTACTGCAGCTACTATGTGAAGCTAGGAGGGTTCTCAAGGAGATGCCAAATATCACCCATCTTTCAACTTCCTACTCCAAGGAGATAACTGTCTGTGGTAAGGTGACAGAGAAGACAACCACTTTGAGTTATGGGTTGATATTCTAAGTGGTTAGAAAATGATACAGATGTTGCCATTACAAGAAAGTTCTCAATGCTTTTTTTTTTCTTTTTTTTTTTTTCCCCCCAAATGCATAAATTGGAACAAACAAACAAACAAAAAAAAGGTTCCTGAGTCACACTAGGTATATTTTAAGAAAGTCCCCCACCTCCTCTTTCTTTTTCTCATTAAACATTTCTGAATCAGTCAGTATTAATTCAGCTACCACTGCATCGTAGCTTACATATTCCTGCACTTGCATTTCTAAAATGCCACAGAGTATTTTGATCACTGGCTGCAAGTCCTGCCACTTTCTCCTCTTACTGAGAAAAAGCCTTTACCATCATAATTTACTCAGTAATGATTCTAATGAGGGCTTAATAGCAGTGGCAAACAAGACCTTTCATTGACAGCATGACTATCTAGAATATACTGAAATTATAATAAACCCTCATTTCTAAAGGGACCCAAGAGGATGGATCAGGCCTTATAAAACCAACAAATTAATTTCACAGAATGATGTGATGTGTCACAAGGTAAAGAATAAGAGCTCATTGCTCATCTATTTTGTTACGCTTTTGTAAATTATGGACAAAGGGATGCAGTATCCTGACTTCCCACAGAAGCAGTAACTGCAAAACAGAACAGTAATGGTAACATTAACTCTTGACAGCTAGCAGTATGTGCTGTGTGTAATGGTAAAGTGGTATATGAAAGGGTACTATGACACATTCAAAACAAATAATGGTTTTTAAGACGTGGTTATGTACCTACTTTGATTGCCAGGAAAGGGTTTGTTTAAATGCGGTTTTGTATAACCAATAATTTGTTAACCAAACCAACAAAACCTCTCTCCAAACCAAGGAAACATGGATTCATACTTGTTGACTACACAGTATGTTCTTACTAAGCAAAACGTACCTCCTAACGTTTGTATTGCATTTGCACAATGTAAGCAGCATCTAAAGGGATCCCCTTCCTGCCACTGAAACTAGTAGCTTTCGTAACCAGAAAGATCCTCTGCAAAAGACGAAAGACCAATTTTTAGACATAATTGATCCCAAATGTTGATTTCCTTAAAATAAGGTATCTCTCTCCCAATTTTATTTTAATTTCAAATTAACAATGCAGATTAAATACACATGTGAAACGTTTGCACCCATATACGTGATGAAAATCTGTCATAGCTTGAATGACTCTTTAGAATGACTTCAGCAGGCTCATAATTAATAAAAAGAAGTGGCACAGAAAACATAGGGTAAAAATGTCACTTCTATTCATTGGTGGTGAAATCATATTATCACAAGATAGGTTTTGAAACCGTTCTGTGACTTTGTCGTGGTGAGTCATAAATGTGAGAACGTTGGCTCTATGAGCTTGAAATTCAGTCATATGCAGAGGGGAGCTATGCTGCAGTGATCCTTTGTGTTAGGGTGAAATCCCCCTGCCTGTTCCAAAATAAACCTCTCAGAAAGGACCAAATCTGTCATTCTTGTGGTCTTAGCACTGAAACATACAAACATGGACTGTTCTTGACACTCTCCATCATGTAGTAATTAAAGCCTGGCCCTGAACTAGACAGATGTTAAATTGTGCTGTATATAGTCAGATGTTTAGTAAATTTAAACCTACTAGTATGTAGAAGTCTATCATATTTCTAAATGTGTTTTAGTGACATTTTCAGTTTTTCAGGTTCATTATGTGTTTGTTCATCTTACTCCCATTTCCCTGAGTGAGCCTTTGGCTGTGTGACTGGTCTGATCTTCAGATCCATCTGGAAAGACAAGAACTTTACGGAAGACAATTGTATACTCTTTTAAGTATTTAATTGACATATTTTACAAGCAGCTTCAGCATGTACCTTAAAATGAAGCTAATCCTAATACAAGGCAAATTATTAAGGAAAACATGGGGGAACACTTGTTAGAACTGACTAATTCCAGTTTTATAATTCCAGTTTTTTTCTTGTCTGTGAGGGAAAAAAAAAAAAAAAAAAATCATGGTTTTGTTTTCCATAGGAGATTTACATGGAAACCTGGATGATCTTTTGCTGATATTCTATAAGGTAGGTAGGCAGTCTGTGATGTAGCGTTTTCACTTCATGCCTTGTAGTTAAGAACACATATTTATGTCTGATAGATTTATCAGTGTTAGAACTGTACATATGGTATGCAGGTACCACAGACAAATCCTGGAGCAATTTGAATAGTCTTTCTTATAGCTTTTTCTTCTCCATATCCTCCGTCTCACTGTGAAAGAGGAGATCCAGGAGATCTTTCTCTTCCTAAATGTTGAACTGGAGCATGGATCAAAACTTAAGAGGGTTCCTTGCAATGTCTTCAAAGTCCTACCGGTGTTTTATATTGCATATTGACTACAGTCTTCTAAAATCAGGGGCTTAGTCCCTGATGTAACACTGTACTGTGGGGAATTTTGTCCCTCCAGAAAAAATGCTGAAGCTTTCATTTTAGGTCTTCCACTGAAACCTACAAAGTGTTTTTTATTATTATTTGTTTACAGGAAACAAAAAAGAGTGCTATCTGCTTAAAAGCTTTTTAAGTCTTGGAAGCAATCATGTAGTCTGCACAAAATGGAAATACCTTGGGCACCCTTTACATATCCTTGAACAGCTGCTCACTCTTTAATGTTAAAAAAGCATAGCTGTGTTTTACTGATGTGAAAAAAATTAAGCTCCACGCTATCTTTTCCACAATTGTGTATTTAACTGAAGATGCAGGAAATTTCCTGTATTTAGTTTCACATTTATCTTTAGCATGAACTGCCTTTCATTTAGCAGGTAATCTCTTTGATTTGAGCTTTCCAGGGGAAAAGGTTTGTGTCTGATCCTTATACAATCATCTGCACCGAATGGAGACTGAAGTGAGCTAAACCAGGTGTTTAAATTATGTAATTCCCCCCTGCTTTCAACTTTGTCACACTCTATCTGACACTTGTTGAATGGAAACTTGGTTGTTTTGCCCAAGTGCATACCTGAAGCCTGTTGAAGTATAATCAGACCTTTTTACAGAGTTCTGCTCTTCTTATTAATCAATATCAATTATGTTTAGCTGATCTTGGCATGAAGTCTTTTAGCTGTTATTTTAATTAGACAATCTTCCTTTTTGAAACTGGAATAAGAATATGATACAGACTGGTTTCATACACAGGACCTGGAGTGGGAAAAATAACTGTTTTGAAGATAAATGCTCAGATATAGTTATATTTACGACTGCAATCAGCCTGAATTTTACTCTTTTGGCCTAATTTTACTCTTTTGGAGTAAACAGAATATTATTCTTTTTCCCCTCTCCAATGGATGGTACAAAGAGAAAAAAAAACTCTAAGCAAGGACTAAATTCTGACCAATAAATTCAGAGCCAAAACTCCCACTCACTTCAGGCACTATAGTTTTCCCCTAGTTGTTCTCTCTTAAGCTTCTAGGGTAGTTCTTCCACCAAACCAAATACAATGGGCAAATCTTTTGTCATTTCAAAGTGGTTAATAAAATAGAGAGCACATGATAGAAATGCTTAGTCATTTAGAATCAAATTAAATGACATTTTCTGTCCCGTCTGAGCAGTTTACTCAGCTGAGCAACAAACCCAGTCAGCCTCTGGGATCCATTTGTTTCTGCTTCCCTAACTCTGTTTCAGTTGGAAAGGATTTCTTCTTCTGAGTTGGTATAAATGGCCCATAACCTTAAACAAGAGGTTGCAATCCTAAACAGTGCCATGAAGTGTGTAGTGATCTCAGGTCTGCACAGAGCCCTGCAGAGCTACAATGGCTGCTGAAGCATTCTGGAGACCTGCATGCAGACTGGGTGCCTTGAGCATGGGGTTCTGTCCAGGAACTTTTATCACAGCACTTCTACAAACTCAACAGCAAACACACAGAAGATAGCAATCAACAGCTGATCGATACAATGCTGGTTGTAATAGTGTGTCAAATTCTTAAACCGGGTTTGGGTGAGGCTAAGATAATTACTTCTTTCTTAATAGCCAGTTTGTAAGGTTCATTCAGTCCCTGCATTGATCTCCATTAAATTATAGCATTTCCTGAAATTCCTTGGAACCCTTGAATTTTAAATTGTGTATTGCTAAGTTAGATTGTTAAATGGATGCTACGGATAGAAATAGCCTGCAGCTGTAGAAAAAGCAAACAACAGAGGGAAGTTAATTAATCACTAACCTAACAGATACAGTAATGATGCCCAGCAGCAGGTTGCTAATCATTAGAGGGCTTTGTTTGCCTCTTTGACATGTCAGAGTGTGCAACGGCCTTTTAGTTTTCCTCTTATTGTTGGTTGAAACAACATAAAAGGAAATTAAAACTTTGCATGAGTGTGGAACAAAACTAAAATGTCACATTGAAGTTGGAAGTCCAAAACAAGCTCTCATTTAAAACTAAGAGTTGTGGGTAAGCTTTTCCAAAAGAACAATGATAGAGTCTGGAGAGCACTTCAGTAGATCTGTCTTTCCATGAGGACTGCAGTTATAGAGTGGCGGTGTGTGTATACTGACAATCTGCTGATGATTCACATACCTATTGGTTTTAAGGCAAAGCTTTTATTAATTCATCCTTCTCAGAGCTGCTGCTGACTCTCTCCTGTCTGTTCCACTCCTGAAATCTGTCCTTTATTTTTTAAAACCACTACAACCCACTGCATTATCAGAGTCTCATAAATTTCCAGTCTTGCGAGCACAGAGCAACCACACGCCTCTTCTAAGTTAGCTTGGAGAGAGTTGGGGAGAGGCTATGGCAAAAAAAAAAAAAAAAAAAAAAAAAACGCTGTATTTACAGCAGTCAGGATTGTGCCACTGTGGGAATTGAGAGACCAGGATTCACTACTGTGTCCTGACATAACAGCTTAGGACGCTGATTGGGACAAAAAAAGAGATTTCCTGATGGATTGAAATTAAACATTTAATTGAGTCTCTGGCCAAATCATGCATCCTGCAATAAACCTGCAACAGCAATATAGTAGGGAATGCCATAGGAACATAGGAAGTGCAGTGCTGCCAAACCTGTTATGGGTGGCTTCCACAGTTGTAATGTGATTTTATAGATGTTCTATTGACAATTCTTGTGCATGCCAATTGTGAAAGCTGGGATTTTCTTTTTCTGGCAAGTCAAAATTGAAATAATATTTCTGATACTCAGGATTGGAAATGATGGAGCTACACATAACTGCTGCTATAGTTTTTGTAAGCTGATGGCACCCATTGACATGTTGATAGCTAATCTAATGAAACACACCATCAATTCACAATACTAGCTTTTAATGAGTCACCATAATAAAGCATTGCTCTATATCTTCAGAAAAAATAAGGTAAGAAATACCTGTATGTACAGCCTATTAGGTTTGTGAGCGTTCAAGTATACCTTTGCCCTGTGTGGGGGCAAAGTGCAGTATGAGTAAAATTCAAGCAGTGCTTTCAGGATTAAAGCAACTGGGATCAAGATTCTTCAGAGTTCTCTATTAAGATTTTGTGTCCTCTGGACTACAGTCTTTCTCAGGAGTTTTAGAAGCATACACTGCAAACAATGTAAATATATGAAATCCATTTTCTTACTGTGTAAGGAAACATAAGAACCTTCAGACTTGTGTCAGAAGATAATTTTTCATGGATTTCTTGTCTTCCATTCAAAATGAATTATTCCATTCTATTTGCAAGTGTGTAACTTCCTGGCAGCGTTTGCATTAAAAGAAAAGTATATTTTATTAGAAGAATAATGTTCCTATTGGTCCCTTTCAATTTAATTTAATAAGTAGAGGAAAGGAGTAGAGATGACATCATAAGAACAGTCAGAGAGGTCATCTCTTCTCTGATGGCTCATACAGGTTGTCTGATATGTCTGTTCTAAGCAGTAGAAATAAAGAAATGCTGCACTTCAGATCTCTGCATTGTGCAGATTTTTTGCAGATTTTCTAGCAATGTGATTTTATTTGAAATGCTATTTCCTTTATTACAGTAGCATAGAAGCATCTCTAGATGTCCTTGTTTTTGTTTCCTTCTGCAGAATGGTCTGCCTTCAGAACAAAACCGTTATGTCTTTAATGGTGATTTTGTTGACAGAGGGAAAAATTCAATGGAAATACTTATAATCCTGTTTGCATTTCTTCTTATCTACCCCAATGATTTACACTTGAACAGAGGAAACCATGAAGACTACATTATGAACCTGAGGTAGATTTTAGGGGGCCGGGGGGAGGGAGTATTTGGCCTTTCACTAGAAATGTTGGAGCTTTTGAATGCTGCTTTAGCCACTGTGACACTCTAAAACAGAAATTATGTTTTATTAGGTATTCAGGTGTAGCTCTGCATCTTCAAGATGTGTGAGGGGTCAAAGAACACGCTCATTACATACAGGCATTTGAACAGGAGTCATATGTTGTCGCTGACCTAATCACAATCTGTTGAAGTCAATGGGCTTAGTGCAGCTTCTAGAGTACCAAATTTGGGGAAAGAGGACAGATGGAAGGATTATATCTTAGTTAAAGCATTGGCTTTTTCCACAGCATAGCGGAAGACATAATAGTATGCCATATAATGGAACCAGTAAAGCAGGAGCTGATATTTCACTTAACTTTAGGCTAAGATGTCACTTCCCAGTCAAAAGGGGTGGCTAAATATCCTGTGTAGGTCCATTAGTTGAGAGGTGGCAGTCTACCCCATTGCAGGAACAGCTGAGACCCTATTTTCTAATACAGATATTTGTACTCAGCTCTACAGCACTGCAAGGGAGTGAGCACAACCAGTGTCTCTGTCTGTAGTGAAAGTGTGACTTGTAGACAAAATCATCTCACAAATGTGAGAAGAGCTTCTCTGTCCAGGTCCCTACAATTCATTCCTCAGTCCTGGTCCCTACAAGTCTCAGCCACCCCAGTAAGTCTTTTGGTGACTGGCTAGTGGGTAACCAGTTGTACCTCTTCTATCATTTGATGTGTGCGCACAGAATATATTGCTCTTTAGCCCAGGCAGAAACCTGGGTTAGAGGCCCAGGTTCAAATCCTATTAATGATCCGTGTAAGAAAATCAGTTTCACATTGATACTTTCTTTTTCAGCACTTAATTAAAAACAAACAAAACCAAAACCATAAAACAAGATCAGTTACATTATCTACAAAGTAGGAAAATTCCCACCCAAAATAATGGAAAATATTAAGTAAATCCCTGATGGTGTGGAGATGCATTTCTGTGTATAGCCCTTTGTCAGGCATTTTGATTAGCAGTGCCACACACTGGTAAATTTGAAAGCTGAAGAGTTAGGGCATTGTGAAAATGCTCCTTGCACCAAGGATATCTTGGTGTTAAAAGAATGAGGTATCAAAATCCTTGTCCCTTGTGGAGGAAAAGACATGATAGATGACACTGTCTAACAAAGTTGAGTGATTAGAACAAAAACTCTGTGGAGGTTTTGTGGGAAATTTTACCCATCATCAGTTAGGTTCCTTTGAAATTTTCTTCTGGTATCTAAAAGGTAAAACTGCTAAGCTATTTCATCTAGATGGGAAAAAGGCCACTTAATAACTGCTGGTCTGGATTCTGTTCCTGATCTCTTTTATGTACAAGAAATCAGTTTTACTCAATTATTGAGATAAAGCAGAAGTAAGCACATTTAAACAGAGGTGAGACAGAATGGCAGGAGGAAAAGAGGGACAGAAAACTCCTGGCAAACACTATAGAAAATCATGCAGAAGGGGCATACTGAAAAACAGTTCATGATGTTGTCCTGTTTTCAGATATGGCTTCACTAAAGAAGTTTCAAAGAAGTACAAGGTAAGATTCTTCCTCCTTCCCCTGTATTTTCTTCTAGTCTTGCACATGTAAAATGATACCTGAGTAAACAAGGAAACTTCCAACCAGTTTATTTATGTGCAGTACAGAATTACTTTAGTAATGTAGTTGAAATTATTTTGGTTTTTCAGTGGAATAACTGTCAAAACAATTTTAAGTATTAGCCTTTTATGCTCAGAGATCTATGGGATGAAATAAATAACATTCATAAGGCCACTCAAGAACACAGAAAGAGATTAATGTGAAAGAAAATTGAAATACTATAGAGACAATCAAATGGCCGTAAAGTAAATGTCAGAACATGTTTGCCAGTGTTGCAGTTTGGGGTATCACCTGGACAGAACTGTTCATACAGACTGTGGCAGACACTTCAGCAAAATCTTGAACTTAGAAGAAACAGCATCTGCCAGAAATAGTATCTAATAAAAGAGTATGTTTTACAGGACCATGGCAAAGAGATTTTGTATCTTCTGCGAGACGTCTTTAGCTGGCTTCCTCTTGCCACCATAATTGATAGCAAAGTTCTTATCCTACATGGAGGGATTTCAGACACCACAGATTTGGATTTCCTGAATGCACTTGAGAGAAATAAGGTAAGAGAACATATTAATGTGGGGGTAATTTAGTTTTCTTTAAAAAATTTAGCAGTACAAATGCTAAGATCAAGTTGTCCTCATTAAGAAAGGAAATGGCTCCTGTATAATGCATGCAAGGAAAAAAGAGTCTTGTACCAGAGTAATCAAAGGAGAACCAGGTGATCTGGTGGAGATTCAGATTTTAAAATTGCTCAGACATAGGTCTCCAGTGCTGTTCGTGGAAGCACCTCCTAGCTGAGGGATGTCCCCTCTGGCCTCTGCCTGGCTCTGGAGAAACTCTTCTTTGAAAATCTCCTTCACTGGTCTCCTTTAGGTCTGGTTCATATCTGCCTGCCTCATGCTAATTCACAGACATGGTAGAGCATCCCAGATGGCACCAAGCTACCAATGTTTAAGCAACCTTGTGTACCTTGTTATTAGTGTCTGTGGAATCTAGAGCTATTTCTCTCATCCTCATTTTTTATAATGCAGAAATAAATGCTTTACAGGACAGTGGGGTGTATCTCTGCTTCTCAAAGATGTGGAAAAGGGCAATGAATACTTCTGGTCATCAGAGTCTAGGCTCCATTGGCTATACCACTGGACACTAATTGGGTGCCTCACTACAGATGCAGGTGTCTTAACTGTGAGCTGAGTTCTGCCCATGCTTTCACTGAGGCTGGGCTCAGTGCATTACTGATGCAGTAGCTGTGAAATGCAGAATTAACAGGTCAAAGTTGCTGCCACAGGAGAGCATTGCTAATGAGACATGTATGGGCCACAACTCTGGGCAATATCTCTCAAGGCCAACTGATGTATTTTAATTGGAACAGCTGGCAACTGACAGGTCTCAAATACCAAAATATCGGTCAGTTCATAGGGAATAACCCAGTGTTTTGTGTTTTGTTTTGCATCAGTCCGTTTCTTTGTTAAAAGAGTAGAATTTTGAGTGTGTTTATGTGTGTTTTGTTGTTGGTTTGTTTTGTTGTTGTTGTTGTTCTGGAAATGAGCTAGTGTGAGAAAATTTCAAAAGAGAATAAAAGATACTCCCTGGAGAAGAGTTGGTATTAATGGGCATTAATGGAGCCATAGCACACAGCTCCAAAAAAGCAAATACCTCTACATATTGGGGGAGGTTGATTTAACAATGAAAGGGCCTGATGTAATGCTTCACCAGTTTCACTGTTATCCTCCTGATGTTCCATTTATTTTAGCCAAATTAACCTATCAGCATGCTACTGTATCAGAGCAGTAGAGAATGCTGCTTCATCTTCAGTACTGTATACATGTATATTTTCAGTTTCAAGTGAAGCTAGGCACTTAAGTGTCATCCCTGAGCCCAGATCATACTCGCTGTACAGTGAGACCTTATGCTTGACAGTGGCTTGGAATGAGTCTGTGTGTCTGGATAAGAATATGAGAGCAGCCCTGAAGAGGCTGATCGCTGATAGATATAAAGCAAAATTTCTGCAAGTGTCAAATCCCTGCAGCTTCCACAAAACCTCAGAGTTCAGGACATTATGAGAGTTCAATATTGAGTACAGGAAATGGGAGCTGATGTGCCTTTCAACTGACATCTCTGCATCATCTTTATGTTCTGGTAACTCTTTTAATTTATTTTCTTTTTTTTTTTTAAGTTGAAATCTTTGATGCGGCCACCAAAGTCAGTAAGAGACAGACAGGACCAAGTGAAGGAGAGAATTCCCACAACCAGACCAAATGAACACATTGCCCACCCGAGTGTTGCAGAGAAAACACAACACATCTCTTCATCAGGCTCCATTGAGCCTTCAGGCTCAAATTTGCCTCCAGACCCCGCCCTGAAGGAATGGAAACAAGTAGGTGAAACCAAAGATAGACTGATACTGAACCCCTCCTGCACAAAACCAGAAGGTGCTCTGTTCAGGCAGTATGTTTGAATCCAAGGAAACTGTCTGTTAATAACAAACCCATTATTCTTGGGCATATACTAACCAGCTATTAGTTATCTGGATGCTTTTTGTAGACCTGGTAATAAAGGCTTGTGATTGTATATCTTACAAGTACAATCTACCCAGTGTTTTCTTTCCTTAGGAGGAAAAACTGCTGGGTGTGAGATGTATTTGCATGCCCTTGTGGTTGAATCTGTTGTCAGTTTAAATAGGTCGGACTTTGCAATTGTTGGTGTTAGTGAGCACCATTTTTTGGCTGTGGCTTTGGCAGCTGAATGCTGATACTGTCCAAAACAAACCAACTCCTGAGACCTACAGGCTGATTACTAAGGAGTGGAAAGACTTTGTCCTCTGACTGTTCATTTTCTCTTACATATTTGAGGCAATATGTAGCTCTTGTCATACTGTAATTTAATAAATTGTGACAATTTGAAAAGCTTAATTTGCACAGCAATTTAGAAACTCAAAATTTGTTTTTATTTAGGTTTTCTGAGCTTTTCTTCAGACAACTGCTTTAAGGGGCAGACAGTTTTCTTTTGCTTCTTGAGGAGCAAATCTCTCTCTGAAAGTGTGATTTCCCAAGATACCTATCTGACCTACAAACTAACATAATAGGCACAAGCAACAACCAAGCGTCCACTGAGCCATGCTCACAAACATGAAGTGGAATCTGTTAGTTTAAACCTTGTCCAGTGAGGTTTAAACAAGGTTCATCCAAAATCTAGATAATGTTTCTTAAGAAAAGTAGAACAAAAATTTCAGCCCAAAAGAATGCCCTGCTTAAAGGAAAGAAGAAAACACAAGACCTACTTGTTAGTTCAGGTGTGTTTTCTCCCTCTGCTGTGGGACTTTTGCTATGGACAGTGCTTTAGACAGCCATAGCCTGTCAGTCCTCACCTACTATCAGTCCTCATTTGCTTGAGTTTGCTATTTATAGACCCTTGACATTCTCTGGAGTGATCCAAGAAGCCAAAATGGCTGTACACCAAACAAGTGTCGAGGAGGAGGCTGTTACTTTGGCCCTGATGTCACTGCCAAGCTGTTTGAAAGGTATAATCTGAAGATGCTCATCAGGTCTCATGAATTTAAGCCGGAAGGTTATGAGATCAGTCACGGTGGGAAGGTAAGATGCTTCCATGTAAAGCAGAATTCTCCTGTGAACTTCACAGGCACATCCACAGTAGATTTGGCTGCAAAGTTAATTAAAAAAAAAAAAAAAAAGAGTGACTTCTTTAAAATGGGGTAGGAGAAATTGTGTGCTAGATGTTAGAACAAATTATAGAGTTCTGACAAACAAAATTCTTTACAATTTCAAGGAGTGGAGACTGGCTTATTACTCATGTGAAAACAAATGAACATCAACAAAAGCCCCGAGGAGAGTTATGTGTAAATACAGTGCAAATGATGCTCTAAGGCTCTTTTAACTTAATAATTTCAGTTCTGGCCCTGCCTTCTGACATGCTATATCAGGAGGCCAGCAAGAATCCTGAAAACTAGGCCTGTCTTGGAAAGAGGTTTCTGTTAAACAGCATGTTACATCTCACTGCCCTCTGAACTGAAGTCTTCCTATGACAGGCCAAAAATACAGGCCTGGAGTTTTGACTCAAAAAGTGTGAACAACATGAGTTGATTTGGTGAACAACAGAGTTGTTGATCTCTGATTTTATATTTAGACAATTAGTATCGTAACCTATGTGTTTTTCTAAGTTCAGTTTCAGAAAGCAGTCCCAAGAATTGTTCTAGCCAATCCAGTTTGCTTGTTTCCTATGATCAGGTTATCACTATATTTTCTGCCTCCAACTATTATGAAGAGGGGAGCAACCGGGGAGCATACATCAAACTGAATCCTGAACTGATTCCTCGGTTTGTACAGTATCAAGTCAGCAAGTACACACGCAGGCAGAATCTTCGGGAGAGGTAAAGCTGTGTGCTGTATGCAGTGAGTGTCTACTCACTTAGCATGTGATACCTGCCACAAATCTATAGCTTGATTGAATAATTGAATAGGCATCTATTTTCTTTGGTTTTCCTTGGTTTTCTATTTTACAATTTAAAAACTAATACAGTAGACAAAACATCTTCTAAGTGCTCTGACTCAGTTTCCTGAGAAACTCCCAGAGCTAATTAGACATGATAAGCAGTTAGAACAGACAATTGTCAGGGACTTGTAAAGGGTCTGTGCCTGTTTGTCAGGTCTGCTTTAAGGCTGCAGCGTTAATCTGGACAAATCCTGTTATGAACTGAGTCCGAAAAGTTTATCATGACAGCTTTGCCATGCCTAGCACTGTGGTCAGATTTACTAAAGCAAAGCAGCTTAGAATTACCTGCATAAACTCGATTATCTCATAAATTAGATTATTCTTATGGGGCTTTGTTTGTTTTGTTGGTTTTGGTATTTTTTTTTTCCCAGTGTTGTCTTTTAGGATGACCCTAAACATACTATGTTAAAAGGATGTAAGAATTTGGTAATGAATGTTAAAAAGCATAAAATGCTAGAGGATTTAAATCCTTTAGTGATCTGCTCTGCATTTATTTTCTCCTAGGATGGGCACAATTGAATCATCTGCCTTAAAGTCCTTACGAGAAATGATTTATGCTCACAGGTCTGAACTCACTAGTGCTTTTGTACAGTATGACCTCAACGGCACAGGTAACACTACCTCTCTGTCAAGCTGCCACCAAATAGCTTCTATGTGTGTGGGGGCAGAGGGGATAAACCCCATGGAGACGGGTCCTGTCTGCCAGTGTAAGGCTGAAGGGGAGCAGAGGCTGGTTGGTCTTATGTTCTTCCTGACCACAGAGGAGGATAGGTGTTAGCTAGTGCTTAGCTCCAGAATACAACTTGAGGGGATGAAGTTTTAAGTGGGAAGAAGAAAACAGCTGAAACACATGGGCAAATAAGGAAATTGTGTTTGGTGTTGGGCAGAGAGTTTGGGGAGGCAAATCCAGCTCCAGAAGCTCAAAGATCACCACCTTCACTTAGAAGTGTCTTCAGAAGATGTCAGACACGAAGCTGGGGTCTCAGGTCAGGGGGAACTGGTCTGAGTCTGGGAGATACCTGAGGAAAGTTGACTGGCAGTGCCACTAGCAGGCACATACTTGCCCATGAGCTGAAGAAAAGTCAGTGGTAAACTGATACATCAACGTTTTATGTATGGACAAGTTGTTGACAATTTCTAGCACAAATACAACTTTTCCTCATGATGGCTTCTCCCTTGACTGGACTGTCATCTGTGCCCCTAAAAGGGCAATCAGTAATGTGATGGTACTGTTTCTTTGGCCACTGAACAACTGTTTAATGTATTTCTGTCTTGCTGGGTTTTCAGCCATGTAGGTCTCTCTAGGTGCAGCTCAGCTCAAATCTGAAGTACTCTCCATGGCATAAATTGGTTTTCTCAAAAGGTACTCAAACATGATGAACATCATAATAGAATCACAAAGTTATTGAGGTTGTAAGGGACCTGTGGAGGTGTCTAGTCCAACCCTGCTGCTCAGCATTGTGAGGGTTTTTATCCCAGGGTTAAGAGAAAATGTTTGTTTTGTGACTGTTCTTAAAAACAGCAGAAGGCACACTGGCTGGTGACTGACGTGTGCTGTGTCATGTATCTGTGCTGTGTCATGTACCGCTTCTAACCTTCTGGCAGGCTGGATTTCTGTCAATGACTGGGCTGCAGCGATGGAGTCTGTCCTACAGCTGGAACTGCCCTGGAGGATGCTGCGGTCTCAGTTAGCACAGATTAACCCAGATGGAGAAGTTGACTTCATGTCGTGTTTTTACGATTTGAAAATAGGCCCACCTACAAAAGAGGTAAGCAGGAAAACACCTCCTCGAAAATCTTGGAAGAACAGCTTTTGGTGCAACTTGAGGCACAAGACAGTGGTTTGGCCAATCAGGCAGACATCTACAGCTGAACTAGTTGCTGAGCTTCCTTTTATAGTCACTGCAGGGAAATGAGCACTGCTAGGGTACGAATCATCATTCCCTGCTAAGGTAGATGCTTAAAATAATTTGGATGAATCATATGCTAGAACTGCTTCTTACTTTCTGTTGATTCTCAAGGGCGTTTAGATAACATAGCTGAGAAGATGTGAGAAATTCTACCCAGGGCACTCAGCCCTCGCTCTTTGAGATGAGCTTTTCAAATGTGCACCTGTAGAAGGTCACATTTGTAGATGGACTTTTAGATGTGTAATGGTAGTTGAAGTCTCTTCTACAGAGTCCAGTTGTTAGTGAGTGGCTGTATAGCGCTTTGGTACTTAGCTATCGCCATTGTTTTTGTAAACAGCAGGATCCATTCACGTATGTACAGTGAAAGCTTAGTATGAGTGCATGACATGCCCTAGATTATCCATATTTCCACAAATAATTACTGAAGGTAGGAGGTGTGAAGGGCTCCTTCCCCCCACTGCCCTGCCATCTGAAAGTGACAGGTTTTAGCTGACTATTTCTCAGGGCAAGACACAAAGTATCATTCCAGGGAATTTAAGCATAAGGATTTTTTTCTTTAAACAAGTTAAACTGGAAAAATAGATTTGGATAGTACACATTCTGTTGGTTAGACTAACTCAAACTAAGGTCTGAATGGTTTCCTCTATGCAATTTCAAAACCAGGTTCAGCCAGCTTTGGCGGAAACACTGTGCAGATACAGAAAGGATCTGGAGATAATCTTTAACATAATTGACAAAGATCACTCAGGTAAGTCTAGGTAGCTTCACTTTTTCCAGCTCAAGGAAGCCTATACTAGTTAGTTCTCTTTCCCCACTGTTTCCTCCCTAAGGCTTCTAAATATAAAGGAACCAGAGGTGATGTCATTTTTTACAGTTTGGTGAAGACTAATTTAAGGAGCCAGGCTGTAACCATATAAGGGACAGTGCACAGAGCCTAACTTGAGAAAAAAATTTCACATATCCCATCTCCAGTCGTGGCTTCACTCGTTGGGGGGGGCTTTTTCTCCATTCCACTCTTACTCTCAGGATTTACTGCTTTCTCCATTCTGCTGTCGAAAGCAGTGGATCATTCCCTGAAGTAAAAATGTACTTCAGTCATGAAATCGCAACACACACCCAGGCCCCAGTGGACAGGTGACTTTCTTGCAGTGAAGGAGTGTGCATGCATGCCTGTAGGCAGGAAGGGGAAACAGCACTGGACAAAGCAACTTGCTGTCTCTCTTTTAGGTCTGATTTCTCTAGAGGAGTTTGGCCAGACATGGAAACTCTTCACTTCTCACCTGGGCATCGATGTAGATGATGAATCCCTTGACAAGTTGGTCCTCAGCATAGACTACAACAAAGATGGATACATCGACTTCAGTGAACTTTTAGAGGCTTTTCACGTGGTTCATAGGCTAGAGAAAAAGGCAAACTCATGAAAAGGCAGAAGGTCGTGTGGGCTGTCTTGGAAGCTCACCTTCCTGTCAGTCATAAGCAGTCTGGGAAGTGAATTTCCAGACTGACAATAAATGGGCTGCCCGATATGGTTAGCGCTGTGGTCACTGTGTAAGCCTTTATTTAGTCCCTTCTGGATGATATATACCTGCTAGTAATGAGACAGAAGAGATAAAAACCTCACTACTTATAGTATTACTGTGTCACTGCCACATCAGTACCTTACAATTTATGCTCTCCCTTGGTGGCATCTCCCTCATCAATCTAACCTGTGAACGCTGCCAAGGTTGCACCTACAGGCCCGTGGGAAGAGAAACTTTGGTGCATTTCTTTCAGTAGCCCTTAGAGACAGCTGAGGAACAGCACTGATGACCACAAGGAACATATCAGACTCTCCCTGAGGGCAGAACAGGCATGAGAGAGGCCTGCTGTGGACTCTCCAGGCCAGGAGAGGAAAACAGGGAAGAACCATCTGGTTACAATAGGCAGTTCTGCAGTTAATCTTGCTCTTTGCATGAGGCAGTGAAATCAAACCATTCCAGGTCACTGTCTATCCTCCTTGAAGTTTACAGACACAACTTAAAAATATCTCAGTTGAAAGGCGTTTACACGTGCACTAGCTTTCCTCTTGCCACTGGTTACTTTTGCCTACATTTGTTGCAGTTTGGAGCTAAGAAACAGTCATAACTCATCACTTTAAGGAAGGCTAAATCACGCATGGTAATATAACATACGATGGATCACAAAATAAAGCTTTAGCTTTCAAGCAACATGCAAGTGTGGTGTCTTTTTGCCTGTATTTTGGAATCCTACACATATCAGAGCACAACACACTTTTCCAGAAGATTAACTAAATTTCTTTAAAACAAAGAGATAAGAACACAAAAGTAAACAAATTTTGATACTACCAAACCTAAGTATTCTTGCATATGGATAAATGTAAATTCTTTACCACGTAAAGTAAACTAAAAGTCTGAAACTGAGTTTTTGCAGCACAACAAGATGGAACAGTGCAGTGCCCCCAGCCTCCCCCAAAACCGCAAACTGCAAACCAGTATTCCCACTCCTGCCAAGTGCCACCCCACCCGCTCCTGGGGGGGAGAGCAGGGAGATCTGGACCTAATTCTCTGACATATTGCACTCTGAAAGCAGTACGCTGATCTACAGTGAAGTGCAGCCAGATCAGGAGCTTTGGGAAACCAGTATTGCCCAATTCAGACGCAGTAAATACAACATGCGCATAGTGCTTTGTGGGTAGGAAAAGGTTCCAGCATTGCCCATCTTTAAATTTTAACAGCGAGAAATGCTAAGTAAAGTAGCTGGGTTTTCTTTAATAACAGTGTTAAAAGTACAAAACAGTGTTAAAAGTACAAAATGAAGCGTTCTTCCCAGTTTATCATCAGAATGTAACCGCAGCCCAAGCTTAAGGTCTTGCACTCTTAAATCTTATTTTCTACAATTAAATACAAAATACTTTTCCAGAAGTAATTTTGTAATTTGACAGATGAATGAATGACCATGCACACACTTATTTCTATTGTCTGGGGGGAAAAGAAAAAGCTTTAATAGTGCAAACAAGATTTACAGTAACATTTTAATAGCACTGGTACTATTGAATGTATATTTTTAGCATGCATTTATTCAGATCTATGGCCTGTGAGGATGAGTCCCATCTTATTCCAATGAAGTGACAAAAAGGCTCCACTTTAAGACAGACGAACACCACAGTGTGTGGTGGGATCTTGCTTCCCACCATTGGTTTCCTGGCTGTAGGCACAAAGCAACAAGGTGGGATGGGACAGTGCAGCCCTGGAGTCGTCCTTGGCCCCCACCCCCACACCCAGCAGAGAGGACAAACCCAGGGTGTGCAGCAAGATGTGGGAGCTCAGCAGCAGAGCCGACAGCCTCCAGCTTCAATGTCCCCCTCTGATTACAAACTCCTGAGGCTACCCTAGCATGAGGCTGAAGGATGCTTGCCTTGAGGGATCACTGCATGAGGTGGGGTGTAAAGGTAGGGATGGAACGCAGTGCGTCACTCAGCAGGCAGTGAGAAGAGGCTTTCAGGGATGCAGTTCTGAAGTGTGAGAGCAGCTGAGTCATCGAGCCAAAAAAGAACGCCTGCCCTGTCAGCTGCTGGCAGCACACAAGAGCCCCTTACCCCTAACAGAAGAAGGGGGGGTGGCAGAGGGGAGTAACTGTGAAACATCTAATGGCAGGAATAAAAGCCACCCGAGGCTAAAACTGGGAGTGGGAGACAGCCCAGCTGAAGCTCTTCTTCCAAAACCCCACCCGCAATCTTTTTTTTTTTTCTTATCCCACAATTTTATGCAGTGGCTACTTCATAGCGCAGCTGTGAGTGGTCCTTTGATCAGGGACTGAATCGACCTGCAGCTGAGTGCCTAAGCTCTTGCCCTATAGGTACAGATGCCACTGCTGGTGGCACCTCTCTTTCTCCCACTTTTTGGACAACTCTGTTCCTACCTCTGGACCACATGAGAAAATGCCCAGTGTTGGACCCAGGCTCCTGCTTCATGCAAGCCCCTGGCTGCTGTCCAGAGGCGTGACAGTCCCACAGTGCCCAGAGTCCCCAGGGGTGCAGCCCAGGCATTTCACTACCCACCGCCGAAAGTGACTACCCCTTTTTAACACTGTTAGGGACCGCACAGCTCACCTTCACCTCCCAGGGACAAGCAGGGCTCTTTCTCCAAAGAAGGAGACCACAATTAGCAGAACAGAAGCCAAACTTTATACCCCAACCATTAAGTTTTCACATTTACTTGTAGGAACAGCAGCAGAGGGTGATTAATGCTACTTTCCATCTGTCTAGCTTGACAAAGCTGTGTCCTTCGCATGGCAGCAGGGAGAAGGAAGCACCCGAGGCAGCGAGCAGGGAGGGCGCTGGCCTGGAGGAGCTACGTTGGGGCCTACGCTCTGTGCTGGACACAGCTAATCAATCTGGGCAGTGCCCCCGACCAGCCCCGTTTCTGTCTGTGGGCATGCCTGGCTGCACGTGCCCGTATGCACACGTGCTTAATTAGGTTTGCACTAAAATGCAGCTCTCCAGTTGGAACAGTTCTTCAGTCTGAGTAATAATGCAGCAGCAAGTTGCAGCTGTGCCTGACCTGAAAGCTTCCCTTCCATTGGCCTTGTGTTTCAGAATCCCACCCTTCACCAACAGCTACCTCAATTCTTCAAATTGCCATATAAAGATTTTCCAAGTCATGTGATAATTGATCATGATGATCATAAATATACCAAAACCTAGGTCATACTATGAATTTAAGATTAAAGATACCAATGATACTCCCATGAAAAACAAGTGTCAAGGGGTGTGCAGGTATGTCTGGCCATAGGCTCAATCGCTTTAGACTTCAGTGCAGCTGCATGTAAAACCAACAACATCACCCTTCTTCCTTCTGAAAACAAGATTACACTGTAGGTAAAAGAAAAAATAAATAAATTAAGAGGCTGAGTGAAAATCACCTTGCATCTCTCACATTCTAGGATTCAACACGAAAAGCAAAAATAGATGACTTTTCATATGATACCAGCTAGAACAAGAAACCATCACACAGGCTCTTGTGTGTTCACACTATGCACTGTCACAGCTGTCTGCTTAAACCAGACAAAGATTTTACTTTCATCTACTGGAAAACAAGTTAAGTGATCTCTCACAATACATACGGAAAGGAAAAAAAACAAACCCAACCAAACCATAATGAAGGCAAAACCCTACAAAACAGGCACCATGGCAATAAAATGACCTCCACATCCAAGTGCTAATTGTACCTGAACCATACCTTTATACTGACCGGCCCCTCAACAGGCCTCAATTTTCATAGTGGTTAACACAGTACCTGCCTCTCTCAGAGCATCCAGTCCAAGGGCTCCTATGCCCCTGGGCTGCCAAACTCTCATGCTCTCTAAAAAAAAACCCATGAAACCACCTCCTAAGGCTTCCCCCATCTTCGCTCTCTTAAGCCACTGTCTAGATGCTGTTACAGCAGCAGCGACTGCGTAGAGGGACGGCAGGTGGGTGGCATGGCCGTCAGGAGCTTTGCCTCCCCAAGAACATGGGTGCTGGCCACTGGCAAGGGAGACAGGGGCTTACTTCCCTCATTTCATCAAGGTATTTTGGATATCTGTATAAAACTGGAACTGAAAACCTTGTTCTCAAAGGCACCACATACTACTGTTACAAAAAAAAGAAAAGTTTTCAAATCCTGTAAAAATGACATAGTTATGTTTTGAAAGAGTGGATGGGGTTCTCACAGAAATATGCTTATCAGGCTTATTAGCACAGAAAATACTTACAGGCCATATCTGCTCTTTTCCCCCTTTACCTGGCAAGACAGAACCACTCCGATCCTCTCTGCTCCCACGGCGGCAGTGCCGGCACACCTCCACGCTGCTGAGGGAGCTCATGGCCACAGAAGAGTCTACAGCTACGGCCACTTCCCTACGCTGTCAGCCAGATGCGTGCTGGCTGGTGGCAAAACCAGTAGTGCTGGCACACGGAAAACTGCAGCCGCCGCCTGGGGTAAAGCCGGGTTTTCCCCTGCAGAGGCAGCCTACCTCTGCGTTCAGTTTAAACGGCCACAGAGCCATCTCCCTGCACGACACACCTATTCTCGTTGCAAAAAAATACCCGCAAAAATGGTTTCCAGTGGACAGATTCAAGGTGCAGACACTAACTTGGGAGCTGTCTGAAGGGAGACTTCCAGGCAGCCCATCCCTAACTACGTGTGACAAGTGTGACTTCAAATTTAAAAAAAAAAAAAAAAGAAGAGAAAAAGGAAA